CCCAGGAGGTTGTGGGCTCAAGAGCAAGAACTATCTGGTTCTTCTCTATTTGGGCACAAGATAGGCGACTTTTATAGGTCTGTGAGGCATGAGAAAATGTACTATCCGCTCGCAGCAATTAAAAACAGCCTCACCTTCACTCCTCTTCCAGAATCACTCATTGGTTACCTTCAACATTGACTCCAAACAACTCTAATATCTAACAGCACCATTCCCTTCACTTCCAAGCTGATCAAGTCTCATTACCCTTGTCTGGACTATTGCTGTAGCCTCCTACTTACCCTGAGTCCCCACCGACCAGCACTACCTCCAGAAAGCAAAGCATGAGACAGCCACTTATATGCATAAATACAAATTGGAATATGATCCTCAATAAGAACGTGGCACTAGGAAGAACAAAACAGAAAATGAAAGTTAGCCAGAGTGGTTCACCAATGTGGTCAACTGATGCTCGATTCTGCTAGCATCATCTGAGAGCCAAATGGCTCTCTAAATAGAATATACCTCAAATCATCCCAGCCAAAGGACAGAGCGAGCACTTAACCTACTGTCATTAGGCTCCTGTTGCTCAAAGGTTGCCCCCTGTGGTTCTTAACTCCCTCACACTTTCAGGTCACACATTTTGGGTGGTTCTTATAGACACTTCATAAAAAGCACTGGAGAAAAGAAAAAAATGTGCATGATATAGGCAAGGCAAAGTGCTGGCTATTTACACCTGGCTATTTACGGCTAGTTGCTGCAACCATCGCTGGAGTAAAAAGTAGGCTGAGAGGATGCGAGGTCAAGATACCTGGTGTTGTGTGCAATACACCTGATAACTAGTCTCCTCACCCCCGGATAAAGTCCAAACTGGTCAGTTTGGCATGTAAGGCCCCTACGTCACAAGGACCCATCTATCTCACAGGTGCTAACTCCCTTATGACTCCTCCCCATGATCCAGCCATGTAAGATTTCCCCAAAGAAATCTCTTGGCTTTGGCCAAAGCTGTTCTTATTGTTTAAGAGTTCTTCTCTCTATACGGAAATCTTCTAGCCGGACTTTGATTTATTTCAAACAGTACCTCCACTGTGAAGGTTTCTCTGATGCAGACATAAACAGTTACAACTTCTGGACTTTATCAGCATTTTCAGTGTTGCTAACAACCAAACAGAGGGGGGAATTTGGCTTCATTCATATGTTCATTCACAATTGTAATAGCATTAAAGACACACTAGGCATTCAATAAATGGCTCTGATTTTCTGACACTAACTGTGCCCAGCAATTCAATTCAATTCTGACACCATCTACCAGAGTTAGCTTCGGATTCCACAAATTAAAAGACTCAGTCTCACAAAACTGTCCCTACTTCAGATACCAGTCAAAAGTTCAAGGCCACTCCCACTTCTGACTAAATAGGGGTTCCCTCAACCCCTTCTTCAGGTTTGATAATTTATTAGAACGACTCACAGAACTCAGGAAAACATTTTACCTACATTTACTGATTTACTATAAAGGGTACCACTCAGGAACAGCCAAACAGACGTGAATGGGGTAAGGTATCGGGAGAGTGGTTGGTGGGCAGAACTTCCACACCCTCTCCAGGAACACCACTGTCCCAGGACCTTGCTGTGTTCAGCAACCTGGAAGCTCTCCAAACTTCAACCTTTAGGAATTTATTTATTTTAGTTAAGTATAGTTGATGTACAATATTATATAAGCTATAGGTGTACAATATAGTGATTCACAATTTTTAAAGGTTATACCCCATTTATAGTTATTGTAAAATATTGGCTAGATTCCCTATGTTGTATAATGTGTCCTTGTAAAGATGCCTTTCAGGAATTTTTAAGGAGATTCTGTGATTAAGCATGATTGCTTAAATTATTAGCTGCTGGCAATTGAACTTAATCTCCAGCCACCCTCCCATCCTAGGAGGTCAAGGGGTGGAGCTGAAAGTTTCAACCCTCTCATCAAGGCTTGTCTTTCTGGAGACCATCCCCCATCCTGAAGCTATCTAGGGACTGTCCAACAGTTACCATATTAAAATAAACTCAGGTCTGGTTGAAAGGGGCTTGTGAGGATTAACAAAAGAAGTCCAAGAGTTTTAGGAGCTCTGTGTCAGGAACCAAGGACAAAGACCAAATATGTATTTCCTATTATACCACAAACAACTATCAAGTAAATGAACAAAAGGAATGATGGAAGGAAGGGAGGGAGGGAGACAAGGAGAAAAGGAGGGAGAGAGGAAAGGGAGGGAGGGAGGGAAGGAAGAAGAGTGAGGGAGAAAAGAAGGAAGAAATTGTTTCCACCAATAATGCTGCCTTTGTCAGCTGGACTGTTTTAGATGTCCCAGACTGAACATGTTTGGCCAACACTGGCTTAGAAGCATCCTCCAAAAATCCCTTTTCATCAACTGAGTGAGTATTGTAACTCCTTAATAAACCCATGAGAAAACAGACCTAACTGATCACTGATTGTTCCAGCTCACAGCCCAACTTGACTCCTCCTGGGTTCAGGGCTGGCAGGGCAAAGGGAGATTCACCATTGGAAAGGCTGGCTGCTGAGCAGTTAGAGCAGTTTGGAACTGGATAAGCACTGGGTGCTTTAATCGTCTCTTGCCTCTGAAACACAAATGAGCCCCAGGTGGGGATGTGCTTGGCAGAACTGGAGGGATCTTGGCAGCTCACTGCAGGGGGCCGCCAGTCAACCCCCTCCCATCAAGACTGCCTGGATAAAGAAGCAATGATGGTTTAGGGGAACGGGCTGCTTCCTCTCTGCCTGTGAGCTTACTTGTGAATAGCTGCAAAAAAGGTCAGAAGAATAAACATATTTCTGTGTGTCTGTGTGTGCAACAAGTTCCAACTTCTTAACCAATGAAAGTCAGAATCACCATTACTCTACCACCATTCATCTTTTCCAGAATCGGGGTAATTTCACAGTTTGCAGTCATGTATGTGGCAGCAATTAAATGTCATCTGGAAGCCAAAATTACTAGCACTGCAGAATTGTACTGTGGGGGAACCCAGGGCAAATCCCTAATGTTTCTCCCAGGAGCTAAAGTCAGTGCAAGAATCCGGGAAAGGGAGGGAGTTCACCCCCCACTCCTCCACCTCTGAGAGGGAATTCCTTTAGTCACAAAACAGCTGTCTAGTCAAGTTATTCCCAAACAGCTTTTGTGTCAAGATACTTCTGATGGATAATGTTCACATATGCAATTTGGGCCATAGGAAGCAGCATAGGAAAGACAGACTGGGAGTTGTGTACAATACATAATGCTATCTGTGTCCCTTCTCTCTCACTTCTGGAAGCGAATCAGAACACATATAGATAGAAATAGTGTTGCTATAGGGAACAACTCAAATCTGCTTTCATTTACACAAGAAATAAATTATTTACACACACTGGTACCTCATTATTAAGAAATTTCTTTGCAACAAATCCTCACAGCTGTTCACAATAGCACTTCCTTATCAAGACAGAAAATTGAAAAGACTAGAAATGCAAACCAGTTATCATCGAAGGTCTCCCCGACCTATAAAATACAGTGAACATAGTCTTTGTACTATTCCTGGCAAAAGCCAACCCCAGCCTCACATTTCTACAAATGGGTAGGGAGCATTCAACTTGTAGTCAACTAAATCTCTTGACTTTCAGCTTCCTCTGGCCTTTGTCTTGTTCCTCTCGCACCACAAACACAAACACACACACACAAACAGATGGCCTTTGGGTGGGTAGCATATTAGCAGGAGAAGTGGTTAGAAGAGCATATTCTGGAATCAGACAGGCTGGGCTTAAAGATTAATTCTACCATTTGTAGCTTGGTGCCCTTGGTCAGATTATATTCTCTCTCCAAGCTTCCATCTCTTCATACTTAAAATGGGGATAACAGTGCTACCAAACTCATGGTTGATGAAAGAACTGGATGAGATAATATATGTAAAGTTATTTTGCATAATATTGGCACTTTATGATCATCATCATTATGACCGAATTTTTGAGAGGACAAATGAGTTTCACTGTAAAACAAAATGAACTTCAAAACTCATAATCATTCTTGACCTTGAGCCTTCTATGATGCTACTCAGCCATCCTTCCACTTTCTTTCCCTTTTCTCCTCCTTTTTCGACACTTCCCCACCCTATTCTTTGTTCATTTATGAAGCATATCAGTTTGTTATCTATTTTTTAATTGAAGTATAGTTGATTTATAATGTGTTAGTTTATGGTGTACAACATAGTGATTCAGTTATACATATATGTATACATAATTTTTCAGATTCTTTTTCATTATAGGTTAATACAAGCTATTGAATATAGTTCCCTGAGCTATACAGTAGGACACGGGTGTTTATCTGTTTTCTATATGGCAGCTTGTATCTGCTAATCCTAAACTTCCAATTTATCCCTCCTTCTCCAGTTTCCCCTTCGGAAACCATAAGTTTGTTTTCTATGTCTATGAATCTGTTTTGTAAGTAAGTTCATTTGTGCCAATTTTTTAGATTCCACATATAAGTGATATCATATGATACTTGTCTTTCTCTCTCTGACTTAGAATGATAACCTCTAGGTCTAGCCAAGTTGCTGCAGATGACATTATTCCATTATTTTTTATGGCTGAGTAGCATTCCATTGTGTGTGCATACATATGTGATCAACTTCTTTATACAATCATTTGTTGATGGAGATTTAGATTGCTTCCATGTCTTGGCTATTGCAAATAGTGCTGCTATGAATATTGGGGTGCATATATCCTTCCAATTTAGAGTTTCCTCTGAATATATGCCCAAAAGTAGAATTGCTGGATCAAGGGTAAGTCTACTTTTAGATTTTTAAGGAATCTCCATAGTGTTTTCCACAGTGGTTGCACCAGATTACATTTCTCAGCAACAGTGTAGGAAGGTTCCATTTTCTCCACACCCTCTCTAGCATTTATCATTTGTGGGCTTTTTACTGATGGCCAATCTGACTGGTGTGAGGTTAAACCTCTCTGTATTTTTGATTTGCATTTCTCTGATAATCAGTGATACTGAGCATCTTTTCATGTGCCTATTGACCATCTGGATATCTTCAATGGAGATCTGTTTAGGTCTTCTGCCTATTTTTTGATTGAGATGTTCATTTTATTCTTATCGAGTTGTATGAGCTGTTTGTATATTGTGGAAATTAAGGACTTGTCAGTCTCATCATTTGAAAATACTTTCTCCCAGTCCATAGGCTGTCTTTTCTTTTTGTTTACAGTTTCCTTTGCTGTGCAAAAGCTTGTAAATTTAATTAGGTCTCATTTTTAAATTTTTGTTTTTATTTCTATTGCCTTGGTAGACTGCCCAAGGAAAATATTGCTGAGATTTATGTCAGAGAATGTTTTACCTATGTTCTCTTCTAGGAGATTTGTGGTATCTTGTCTTACGTTTAAATCTTTAAACCATTTTGAATTTATTTCTATGTATGGTATGAAGGAGTGTTTTAACTTCCAGCTTTCCCAATACCATTTGCTGAAAAGTCTTTTCTCCAATATATGTTCTTGCCTCCTTTGTTAAAGGCTAATTTTTAAAAATATTTTTTGAAAAGTGATTGATTTATTTACTTAGTTTTGTTTGTTTGTTTGTTTTTAGGGGGAAGGTAATTAGGTTTATTTCTATCTTTATTTTTATAGGAAGTACCGGGGATTGAACACAGGACCTCATACATGCTAAGTATGCACTCTACTTCTTGAGCTATGCAATTCTTCTGTTGAAGACTAATTGATCATAGGTGTGTAGGTTTATTTCTGAGCTCTCTACTCTGTTTCATCAAGCCATATGTCTGTTTTTG